TACTATAACCGACTAAATTGTACATTTTAGAGTAACTCGAATTTTTTTTTAAAAATAACTTTTTAAAAATGAACTTGATGATTGATTCGCATATAAAAAAATGGGATAATTGTACATAATGGCAAACTTTTAATGTAAAATAAATACAGTAGCTACCGTTTCATTTATTTCCTTTAAGGAGCAAAGTTTCCGTCAGTTTGCTATTTAATGGCCCCACCAAATTGTATAAGTAAAAAAAAAAATTCACGTTATTCTCTTCCTTTTATTACAAGGATCTGAAATGACTCCATCGCAGCTCTCTGACCCCAAGACACAAAGCGGCTCTACCAATTCACCAATTCACCAATTGACATATGCATAGTCTCAAAATCAGCAATACCATCATTACAAATTGATGTAACCATATCATTCTCCTGATTTGAACTTTCACGCAGTTCAGTGATATTGCTACTATTATCCATTTTGCTTATACAAATTGGATACTTGTTGAAGTCATCTGCAGACTTTTTAAGCATGATATACACTCTAACACCCATGTCATTGTGAATCAACATTGGCGTTTTGCTTTCTTTAACCCTATACTCAAGTTTCAGCTTAATCAAATTTGTATCAACACCGAGTTGCATTGCAATAACATTATACAACTCCCTATACGATGAACTTTCTTTAAAAATCACCCCCTCAATTGTATAATCAACGTAACAATTGTCATTGTCCCATCTACCGGAATGCATAACCAAAATAGCTAATGAAGCCATTTTTCAAAATTTCTGTATAAAAAAAAAGTTATATATACATATACATTTATACTATTAAGAATTTCAACAACAAACATAATGTATATTTATACAAATTCTAGCAACTTCAGTTATTCACATATATACATATTCCAATTACATACTCATATAAACGTTTATATACACATTCAGCATATACATTTATATATAAACAATTATATACACAAATTATAACTTTATACACAATTATATAATTTCATACAAGTGCAGTGTTATGATGAAGATAACTGTATAAAACATACACATAATAGTTTCATATATGTATTATACATATCTTACTGAATCATATCTGAAAACCTATACGTATAAACTCTAAGCAAATATACAAATTCGAACACAAATATTACTGTGAAATAAGCGAATCTCCGATCACAAATTCAAAATAATCAACAAGTTCATCCAGAAAATTTCCAGATCACAAATTATTGTAGATTGTTAAACTCTATTTCGAACAAAATATACACCTCTCAATATACATTCAACTTAAATTGATGATAGTTAAAAAGGAAATCTGATTTTGAATACATGTTGAACACCATCTTCGACCTAAAAAAGCAAAATCAGAGTATGTTTTCGTCATGAAATTACCTCCTATTGCTATCTCTACAGTCCAATGATCTCGATTGTTTGTGTAGTACCGTCAATTGCTTGATCAATTTTCTGAATTGAGTTACAATGGAGTTCTTACTGTTGAAGACGACGAAGAAGGAAGGGAATTCGAATGGAACAGAACGTGCGTGACTTCAGTGATTTTTTTCCTTTTTTTTCTAACCGAAATTAACACCCTTTTCTTTTTTAAACTATCAAAATGTATAAAAAAATTAAAAATTGACAAGCGAATATACAGAAAGAAAAGTTTATAGCAAACTATAATTTTGCTACGGACTGCAATTTTACCAAGTTTGCTATAGCATACAATTAGCAATTTTTTATTTGCTATATGTAAAATTTTCTCTAAAAAAATTGCTGACACAATCTATGACTAAAATTTTTTCGTCGGCTCTTGACATAGATTTGAATTTACCTTGTATACCGGCAATAATTATTTTAAATTTAAAGGATACATGATCGTAATTTTACTTTAAAAAATAAACTCTTTCCTCAACTCTCAACTATGATCATTCTCCTTTCCATTTCTCATTTGACTTTTTAAAATGTCTATTTTAACCTTTATATCAATATTTACCACACTTATTTTTATTTGTTTAAAAAAATATTTTTGCCTTTTTAATATGATTATATAATTTTTTTCTTTTCTAATATATGCATTATACTTACCTATATACCTAAGTCTCGTTTACAAAATAAAAAATAGTATCGAACATAAACTCCCAAACACTATCTATTTATATTATGAATTTTAATTTTTGTTTTCATTAATAACAATCGAAGTATATATAAAAGCTTATTTACATAAAAAAGAATAAAAGATTAGGGACGAAGCCAAAGGAAGACAAAATTGTTCAATTGAATCTTCTTGCAATGAAATAAAATTTGATGAAATGTAGTAAAAAAAAAATGAACTTTTTAGTTATGTATAAATTGTTAAAACTCCTTTTAATATAAAGAAAGATGTCATTATTGATTATTATAGTGATAAAAGGGTACACAGTATACTTTTAACTCACAAGTTTAATCTTAAATATGTTTTTTTTAATCTTGTGTGAATTTAAGGCTCCTTAGTAACAAAATGTAACTTATATATATATATATATGATGAACGTTATATCAAAATAAAATCATAAAAAAACGTAGATTACGTGATAAATTTATAAAATGGTTGTTCTATTTTTAATTTTAATGGATTTAAATTATACTTCTTATAATAAGGTAAACCACAACAAAAAATATAGGTAAACGAGAAAATAATTAAAGAAAAAGTACTCAAAGTAGACATTATAATTTATATATGTAGAATAAGAGGGAAAGATTAATAAATTTTCAATGTTGATGGAGAAGTTTGACTTTTAATATAATTCTGGGAGGTATAAATTATGTAAAATTAAATAAAAATATCTTACCTTAATAATTTGGTTTTAAGATATCCCTTTCATTAATAATTAATCAAAAAATATTCCTATCACTAAAATTTGGATCCAAAAATATTTCTATTATTATTATTATTATTAAATGAGTCAAAATATTGTTTCTTTTTAAATAACTCTTTAATTAAAAATAAAATAATCCCACTATTTCATTCACAATCCATATTGGTTCAATAAGGATTTGATCCTTGAGAGATGTGCTAGGTAGGTATATAGAGTTCTTTTCCAAGTTAACGTAAAATCAGAAACCTAGGAAAAGCCATTATAAGGTCTGTAGCATCATATCTTAGAAAAAGTGATTAATAATTGTACTTTTTTCTGTCATTTTATTTGTTTAATACTTTCTCCGTTCTATATTATTTGATCACTATATATCCATAAATTAATTTGAAAAAAAAACTTTTTAAATTTTGTTTGAGTTAGTGGTAGGCATGATATGATATATACCAAATTATCATACTATTTCAAATTTCTGATACCATAATTTTGATATTATTATATTTAATATAGTATATGATATATCGTTTAATAATTTTTTTAACTTAAAAAGCATACAAAAATACCAAATATCATATCTAAGTATATGTATAGTTACATAAATAATCACTCTTTCCTCAACTTTGAACATCGATCGTTTCTCCTCTGCATGTCTCATTTGACTTTAATAATGGAACTCTTTCCTCCATTTTATTTTATTTTTAATATTAATGAATTTAAATTATATTTTATTAATAAAGTATACCACAATTATAGTTTGATCACCTTACTATATTAAGATGGCATTAATTTTTTTTTCTATATTATCCAGACAGTTAATTCTTTTTTAAAGTGTTCACATTTGTTTGTAAATTTTTTAAAAAAATTTCAAGAAGTTAAGTAAAATTATCTTCTTGTTTATGATTTATTAAGGAAAAATTACGTGTATAAATAAACATATATTAGTTAATTAGTCAACATAGTTATAGTTTGCCTTAATTACAATTCACGACCTACTTTTATCTATAATTACGCAGTTCAGCTAATTAGTTTTGTATAATTCAGAATTTGTATAATATAATTTGTATAACTTTTGTATAATTCAGAATTCGTATAATATAATTTGTATAACTATTTACACTTCTGATGTTTGTAATTGTATAAACTTGTTATTTCGAGTTTATACAAAAATAACTGAATTATACAAATGTACCCGTGAATTATACAAATCCGCGAATTATACAAACAAGACAACTTAAACTGTAGTTATAGTCTGTAAATATGCAAACTATAGTTATGAAGCATAATTATGTTTATTACAATGGCTATTTGCGAAAGTTCCACCATTATTAATATGCATTCAAAAAAGAAAGTGATCAACTAATATGGGACGAAGTGAGTACATTAAAGATAATTATTTAATTTTATTTATTTTGTTTGAAAAATAAAAAATAATTTATCTATTTTATTCTTGCTATTAAATACTATTTATTTTTAAATATTTAGATGACTTATAATTAATATATGAGTGATATAGTAAAAATTACTCTTCTATTTATTATTGAGAGATGTATTGAAAACATACACAAATTATTAATTTCATCTTTAAATTATTAACATCCAAAAAAAATATTTAACAATTTAACTAGTAAAACTTAGATACATCCTCGATATGTTACATACTCCCTCTGTCCCTTTTTAGTTGTCCACTTTAGAAATGACACACAGATTAAGACAACAATGATTAGCACAGTGAAGTTACAATTTTACCCTTATGACAACTTTTCACTTCAAAATTACAACTACTTATTTGAATTCAAGTGAAATAAATTGGAGGGAAACAACATACACTTTTACAATTTTCAAGAAGTGTAAATAAGGGTATAATAGGAAAAAATTTGTTGTCCTTTCTTGATTTGTCAAAATGGACAACTAAATAGGAACAACTAAAAAAGAAAATATGGACAAGTAAATAGGGACGGAGGGAGTATGTTATAGTAGTACTTCTCATCTTTATAAGAGGTGTGTCTGAAAAATAGATGGAGGGAGTCACGGAATTCCAAAACCTTACTTTTAAAGAATGTTCTCTTTGTAAATCCCCACTACACACGAAAACCAAGAAATAAAACAAATATTGAACCGTTCCCTTTTTCACTTTTCCCTCTAAAAAACTAAACTCATTTTCAACAAACCTAAAAAACCACAACGGAGATCAATGAGACAGCGGAATCATGGCGACGGCGACGGCAAGCAACAGTCCTCGGTACCGCCGGATGATCTCCGTTGCAAAAGATCAGATGGTAAGCAATGGAGATGCAAAGGTTTTAAGGTCGAAGGTAAATCCATGTGTGAGCAGCATTTACACAGGAGAAAGATATCATCCGCTAGTGTTAAGTCACGTGACGCAAGTGTTTCTGTCGTCAAGAGGACGGAAAGGAGAGGGGAGGAACCGGAGAAGAAACGGCGAAGAAGATACGTTGCGAGGAGCGACACGAGTGATTCTGGTGAGAAGGCTGATGATTTAAGTGAACCAGAAGACGATAAGCCTGTGAGGAAACCTCGTTTTCCTGGGACGAAAATCAGGAGAAAGGGAGAGGGTAGGAAGGAGGATGAGACTGTTAGTTTAGGTGATCCAATGAAAGTAGTAGGGGGTGAGGGTGACAAGAAGAAATATATGAACAATGAAGGGTTTCGGGTAAAGAAAAAGCGTGGCAATGAGGAGAAAGCTTGTTCTAATTTTATCAAATCTTCTGATAAGTGTGCCAGGACTGAATCTTCTTCGAAGGGGAAGGATAAAATGAAAGGAATAAAAATGATTTCACCAGAGGATGAAGAACATGGGAATGGTGAGAGGAGGGTTAGTAGAGTGGTGAAGAAAGGGGTTGGATGTGATTTTAAGAAATCAAGGTTAAATGGGAAGAGTATTCAAAGTGATGAGGAGAATGATGGTGGTAATGTTTATGATTCAAGGAGGAAACATTCAGCCAAATCGCCGGAACCTATTGCAAAAGGTGTTGAAAATGAGTCTTTACTTAAGAGAAGCGATAGGAAATTACCAGAGAAGAAAAAAGTGAAAGTTGCTTTGGAAAAGCAGAATGATAATGACCAAAATGATTGCACAAATCCAAAGGACAAGAAGAATGGTGAAGTAACTAACAAGAAGGCTGCCCCAAGGAGAAGGCATTTCAGTACTGATGTTAGTTCATTTGCTCTACTCCAGATATTTAATTTTTCTGTTGTAGGCTGTAATTACTGAGCGTAACCTGACATCATTTTACTAAGCAGGACCCATATGATGATTGCCAGATGTGCCATCAGTGCATGAAAAGTGATCGAAAGGTTGCTAGGTGTGGAAAAAGATGCGGTAAACGCTATTGTAGCCCATGTATTGAAAGATGGTAATAGTTTTGTTGGTTTTACCTTTTGAGGGTCTCTCACTATTCTTGGCTACTGCAATCTGTTCTTTTTAAAGTCAAAGAAGCTTCTTTTTGGTGTCATCTCATATTTCACTTGAACAACATACTTGTAGATTGATATAACAGGAGAAATGTGTTCCTTTTTAATGGCTTATGTTCCGTATTTCTTACTAGTGCGTGTTTGAGCTTTGGTTTGGTGGGTTACATGGAATAAGAATACCTGATAATAACACACGTTTCAAAGGTGCAAGTTACACATGGAAGATTACAACATTTTACCTTACTCTGTGTTTCTAATGATTAGACAGATCAATTTTTTGGTGATATGAGTCTTCTGCTGTCATTAAGTTGGTGTTATTCTGGGTTTTAGATGCACTTCCTTCTAAGTAGTGCTATTGTTTATGCACAACATAACCATATTAATATCCATGCCACATTAGCATTGTGGTGTGGGATGCAGGGTTTAATATGTCACTTTATCTTTTACAAGGCTACACGTCTCAGATGTTTGGTAAAGCACAGGGCTATACCTAGTGGAGGTTGATCCACAAATAACGAATATATTTCCCAGCTGAATGACCAAACTGGCCAGATAATCAGCTGTTCCATTTACCGGATATTTTAGTGTTTACTGAGGGGGGATGCATGTGGAGAAATGCTTAGTAGAATGCCAATTAATTATCTTTTCACCTATGGTGCTATTGGAGTTATCTATTCTTGAATCCACCTCCTACTGACTAGCTTGAAAGATGGATTAGACTTGTTAGCAGCTGCTATTTCAAATGTTTTCTCATCTCCCTGCCATTGAGTACATTATGAATTTATTTATTTAAATTAGGTAAAGCTAGTCAGGGGCCTCTTTTAGTTTGAAACTGTAATTAATAACAAAAGAAGTACTGCTGAACAAGCCCCCATCTGAATGTAGAATCTGTTAGCTAATCTAGTAGCAAACCGGCCCACACACATATGTTTATTCTATTGGTTAATGATCTATCTGCAAACATATTTCTTTCGAACACGAATGTAGGTACCCTCATCTGTCAGAGGAAGCAATTGCTGAGGAATGCCCCGTTTGTCGTGGGAACTGCAATTGCAAAGATTGTTTACGCAAAACCATTATTCCTAAGGTTAGATTTTGCCACATATATATTACTACATTCCACTTTCTGCTACACACCTCAGGCTTGTGAAGTGTGATTGCGGAATGCTGATGCATTATCTTCTCCTTATATTACAGGAACAAAAATATTTAGGAATACCACAGGAAAACAACAAAAAAATTAATTGCTTGAAGTATCTTGTGGATGCACTTTACCCATTTTTGAAAACATTTATCCATGATCAAACCATTGAAAAGGAGATGGAGGCATCAATTAAAGGTATTATGCATACCACTCTTTTTCCTGTACATAAATGGTCTCCTGGGGATATATGTGTACCCTTTTGTGACTTTTGCCTTCCATCTGCTGCTGTCTGTGCACAATGCCTTTGTTCTGAGGTATTATTTGCTCCTTCTTGGGCTGAACTTTGTACACAAGTTTTTTGCCATCATGCTTATTGTGGAAGCATTTGTAGCTTGAAGGAATATTAGGAGGCCAGACCAAAGTCCATTAGGCAGTAACTTGAATTTACTTTACTAAATCTTATCACCTTTCTAAGGAGTCTGATTTATTACCAAATAGTTGGGAAGCCTTTCAAATAGGGTGCAGTGTCTAACCAATGCAGGAGATACTTTTCTTCGTAATAACTACAATAGAATGCGACCTTACTTGGAAAGTTATTTCCTTCCATTTATATGTCTTAGTCAGCTTGATACAAAGCATAATACCTCTTTCCTTGAGGTCTTAAGCGTGGGTGGATTTAGTTACATGATGTAACTGTAGGTACGGAACTTCCTGTGATGTGTTGGTTTTAACTCGCTATTCTGCTGCTATTTTCTGGTGAATTTTCGTACTTTTCAAAGTAGTTACCCATTTATTCAGTTAAAGTGGTGGCTATGGTGCAGGTTTGACACTGACACAGTTAACAATACCAAAAGCTGTCCTTTATGAGGATGAGCGTGTTTATTGGTATGCCCCTTTCTTGACTTGCAGAATTTCTCCCTTTGTTCTGGTTGTCTTTCCCAGTGCCTTAATATGCTATCTTTCATGGCAGCAACAACTGCAATACCTCCATTGCTGATCTTCATAGAAATTGTTCAACTTGTTCTTATGATCTCTGTCTGACCTGCTGTCAGGAAATTCGAGAAGGTTGTTTTCTAGAAGGTGAGATAGTGGTACTTGTTTAGTTTCATAATAGATGAAAACTTTACCTGCAAGGAGGAAATCTCGTGTCATGTTCACCTTGTAAAACTTCTAGTTTGATCAATTATGATGATTGTGCAGATGAAGATAAAAGGCTCCCTGAATGGAGATCAAAAGAAACGGGTGAAATACCTTGCCCACCAAAGGAAAGAGGTGGCTGTGGAAATAATCGCCTGGAGCTTAAGTGTCTCTTTGGTGAAAAGCAGGTTGAACAAATAATGAGGGATGTTGAAAACTTAGTCAAAGCAAATTCATTTGCCAGTGAGACCCTCTCTGTTGAAGAACAGTGTACCTGTAACTCTAAAAATAGAAGAAAAGCAGCTTCCAGATCAGATTCTGATGACAATTATTTGTTCTGCCCTTCAAGTGACATACAGGAAGGGCACCTGGAACACTTCCAGAAACATTGGAGAATGGGAGAACCTGTCATTGTAAGCAACGTTCTTGAATTAACATCTGGATTAAGCTGGGAGCCAATGGTGATGTGGCGTGCGTTCCGCAATATAGCAATCAAGGAGGGCTTATCAGATTTGGTGGTGACAGCAGTTGATTGTCTTGATTGGTGTGAGGTGCATCAACTTCGATGGTCCCTTCTCTTTTATTTATTGTCCTACTGGAAGTCGTTATCTTATGTTAGAACTAGTGCTTAATCTGCTAATCTACGAAACTTTAAGAGTTCAAGCAGGACATAACCAAAATGAGTAGTCTGGAATTACAGCATTATATTGTGCAAGTGCAGTTTTTTCTATGAGAGATAGTTTCTTGTCTGTGAGTAACCCAGTTACAATCATGTAATCCTTTTTGTTGTATACTTTTGAGGTCTTTGAAGAGTCTCATATATGCCATGCGTTATTGCTATGATGTGCAGTGCTGTCTGGCAGTAGGTGTCCTTTCATGATATTTAGAGAATACTATGTAGCTTTTAAATGTCGTAGCCTGGCTGTTGTCTGATCCAATTCAAGCCTGAAATTGATATGTATAAACTTGAGGTGAGATAATAGTTCATTATCAATGGATTGATCCATTATTAAAAGTTGTTACCTCTAAAGATTCATATGGTAAGAGCAGAAAGAGCATCTTATCAAATGTTTAAATACGGTTTGCTAGCCTTTTATTGCCTACCAGTAATATCAAAATTTAAGTATCTAACATTTTGGGATGTCCCAAATTGAGAGTTAATGCATCAAATGGGAGGGAGGGAGATGTTCGTTGGAGAGACTGGAAACTATACCACTGCATGGTCTACCTATAAAAAGATTATCAGAGAATTTATGCTAGGCTCACTTGAAATATGATATTGTTGGTTCAGGGGGTTCATGATACTTGGTTGACGGAATCACCATGGCTCTAATCTAGCTGATTAAAATGTGTCTTCAGTCAATGCTGAAATAAACTTCTCTTTTATCTTTATGTCTTTCAGGTGGATATAAATATTCGTCAATTTTTTACGGGTTATCTTGAAGGTCGAGCACACTCAGATTCATGGCCCGAAATGCTTAAGCTTAAGGACTGGCCCCCATCTACAGAATTCGAGAAGCGGTTGCCACGCCATGGAGCAGAATTCATTAGAGCCTTGCCGTACAAAGAATACACACATCCGCTTTCTGGTATTCTTAATGTTGCTTCCAAACTTCCAAATGGTATACTGAAGCCAGATTTGGGTCCAAAAACATATATAGCATATGGATTTGCTGAAGAACTTGGACATGGAGATTCCGTTACAAAGCTTCATTGTGATATGTCTGATGCGGTATGCATTATTAGTTGAATAGTTGGTTTCCAGCGCATTAATTACCCTTGGGTCTTGACCTTTGATGCCATTTATTACCCTTGGGATTTCCTTTTCCTAAACATGGTGGTATTTGTTTGTGAATTCCGAAGAACTTAAAAATACCTTTTTAATATAATTTCACACCATTTTCCAATATTAGTTAAATTGTAAAAATTAACTTGCTATTTTCTTGATGTTGCAGGTGAATGTTTTAATGCATACTGCTGATGTTACTATTCCTGAGTGGCAGCTTTCAAAAATTGATAAGCTGAAGAAAAAGAAAGCTTCTGATTCAGATGATCAAAAAGAATTACATATTACTGATACAGGCGATCATCTAGTTCTTAAGAGTGATTTTGCATCTGCAAAACAAGAAAAAGCAAGTGATGTTTTTTCCTCTGACCGGAATGTGCAATTGGAGGGCAGTTTATCTTCTGATCAGGTGGTTGATCTTGAAAACAAGTTTGATGGACCAGAGGAAGAAAATGGTGGTGCAGTCTGGGATATCTTTAGGAGACAGGATGTTCCCAAGCTCGAGGATTATCTTAAAGAGCACCACAAGGAATTCAAGCATACGCTTGGTTCTCCGGTGGACCAGGTGCATATCCCTCATTAATGTGAAGAATATGCATAAGTGTGAAAAAAAGAATATATTCCTTCAATCCATAATGTGTCCTACTTTGAGCTGCACTATTATTTAGAGTAAATAATTTGAATTAATATTTATTGATAGTTTTGTAGAGAAATGTGAAATAGGAGTTTGTAATGTAAAAAGTGGATAGATAATTGTAAGATGCCTTGTCAATTTGATGGTATCGTTTAGTTGCATTTATTTGAATTGTTGGACAGAGAGAAGCTTATCATTTAAAGAAAGAGATGAAGTAGTATGGATTAAACCAAAAGAGCAAAATAGGTCACATGGGAACCCAACATGTGTTTTCGCTGCAACATGGGTATCGTCTATGGAACATGCTTCATACTGGTAATTGAAGCCCTTAGCAAGATGATGAATATAGCAGCAACAGGTGAGTATCTAAAAGGCAATGCAGCAATAAATAGGGAACAAGTACCGGTATCTCACCTGGTATGCAGATGATACACTTGTGAAGTGCCTTGTGGAGATGGAACCGACTTCAAATCTGAAGAGCTTATTGCCATTATTTAAAGTTGTCTTGAATCTGAGAATAAATAAAGAAATGTGATTGGTGGGAGATGTGAACAATTTGGAAGGACTAGCATAGGACAGAAAAAGAAAAAGTCTTCTTAATTTCCCTTGTACATGGTGAAGAACTTCAATATTGACTCAACTTTAGTTACTTATTTAGGATTGTCATTGGGGAGAGGCACAAGCAAAATACAACATGGAGTATAATGATTGCACCCAAGGGTGTGACCTAGTGGTCAATGAAGTGGATTGAGAATCATGAGTCTCAGGTTCAATTCCCAATAGAGACAACAACACTACGTGATTTCTTCCTATCTATTTGTTTTAGCCTTGGTGGACAAAGTTACTTGAGACTTGATGTTGGTGGGGGGTGGGGAGGACATGTATCTCGTGGAATTAGTCGAGGTCCATGCAAGCTTGTCTGGACACCACAATTATAATAAATAGATAAATATGCAGTGTTTTTCTTCTCCATCATATAAACAAATGAACATTCATCAAAAAACAGGAGACAAAGTACAATTATAGAGCTTAGGAGCATAAGTTCCATGGCAATGCACGTTGGCTGGTGATAGTTGTGCTATCTTGCTTACTTTGCTGTTCATTAACCTGTAAACTGCAGTATGTAGGTGCAAGAACTTTGCTGTCTATCAAATTCTTTTAACTGTTCTCTGGTCTATTTGTTGTCTTAAATAGCACACACGTTCTGATGCTGCCAAATTATTTAAGATTTTATCTAATTGAAATGTTAATAGTAAATGATTGTTGTTTTGCTAATTCAACTTTGTAGGTTGTTCACCCAATTCATGATCAAGTTTTCTACTTAACCACGTATCACAAGAAGAAAGTCAAGCAAGAGTTTGGTTAGTGTGATACCTATTTAGATGTCATTTATTTTGTGTTCACCTTAGTAACTTATTTTTATACTGTAGGCATTGAACCGTGGACGTTTGTGCAAAAACTTGGAGAAGCAGTTCTCATACCTGCTGGGTGTCCCCATCAAGTTAGAAATCTGAAGGTACAATAATCTTTTGTTACTTTTATGCCATATGCTTCTTAATCGTGAACCTAATTGTAGAAGTTGAGTTCACGTGTACCATATTGCTTGCTTCGCCAGCTGCCCCCAACCTGTTAAAAAGGTCCAGTCATGCACAAAGAAATAAGGGAAAATAAACCTGAGGCATAAGAAAAGATCGGAAAATTAATTTTTCTGTTCACTATAGGTTTGGTATGATAGATTTCGCTAGACAACTATATTGTGTTTATCCCCTCATCTTCATGCACGTCCGTGCTGCATGAACCTTAACCTGTCTGCTTATAATTCTGATCTCCTTTGAAATTTTAGAGTAGGAACCTTCTTTTATATGCAAAATGTCAAGGATGGAGCTTGCATACAGTCATCACATCTCTTGGTTCATAGCAAATGTTATGTACCTAGTAACAGCTACGGATATTGTTTCTTGTAGCTCATTTTTCTAGGCTACTTTTTGCTTGTGCAATCAAATTGCATTACATTACTTGAACTATCAAAAGGGCATATTACCATGATAGATCTCTTACAAAAACTTGTGAGTTACAACTCTGAACTGTTCCTTGCTATTTTCAACTAGAAGGTTGCGCAGGGAGTGCGATATGGTGAATTTTTTGTGATCTTGGGTATTACACACTAGAGGACATGTGAATAAATTTTTAAGTCTCCCTGCTTCATTCTACACCATGATTCTGTTTTCCCCTTCTATCTCATCTGTCTCTCTTTTTGGCATTAAAGTCTTGTATAAAGGTTGCTCTCGATTTTGTTTCACCTGAAAATGTGGGCGAGTGCATTCGCTTGACCGAGGAATTTCGTATTCTTCCCCAAAAGCACAGGGCTAAAGAGGACAAGTTGGAGGTGAGATCTATTTCTTGATTCTAGAGACATTGCTAAATACTTCTGTTTATGATCTTCAGTAACTCTTAAAATTTTGAGTTATGGACAAGAAACCTTGAGGAAATGATTGTTGATATGATACTCCTTCAATGGAGTCATGGCAGCTCAACAAGTGTTATTACAAATTCGAAAAAGAAGGGGAAATCTTTGGTGATATGTGCTTTCTTGTAAACTTGAATTCTGTACATACATGCGAAACAGGGAATTGCAAGCTGTTTTTTGATTTATTTCCATCTTTAAAAGAATGGATGGTCTCATGGGATTTGACACTTTAAATCCTGGACTCATTTGTGATCTTGTAATTTTCCGAGTTGTTTAAGGCTTTAAGCCCATGTTGGTCCTGTTTGTGAATGCATTAATCAGCTATGATAGGAATTTTGTTGGTACGGTTGAAATCCATGAGAAGCTCTGCCATCCCCACCTCTGCTCCTTCTCCTTTTCTTTTTGTATAGTTTGATTCACTAGAATATAGAATCACGTCTGGGGTATGATTTTGTAGAAGTGCTGTCTTATTCTATTAAAGTGGACTATGTGCCCTCTCCTATACTGCGATCGTATGACATCTCATAAACGAAGTTTGTTGCTGTTAGCTCCTCTTTTAACAACATTTTGTTTTACACACAAATTTAGAAAAGATTGTTTAATGCTTAAAATGATTTAAGGTAGCTTAAAATAGTGATAAGATCTTAGTGACTCTTCCTTCATTATGGCTAGGACAATGTGTAGGAGAAGAGGATGTGTCAATCATTTCCTCACTAGCCATAGTAGGTTTTATACACAAGCTAATCGATAATTTAGGTGTTATTGTAGGAATGTAACTATGTTTCTTTCTCGTTAGCTTCTCCTTGTGTCCAATTTGTCTTACATTGTTTTACTGAACATAAAAGATTTTGCAGACTGATTCTCTTTAGATGTGTAGTACTTGAGCTAATCAATCTATTAGTCTTAGTTGTATGGAAGAGGTTATGCGGCCTAGATGAGAATAGACTGAAATATAAATTAAGATAGTGGGTAGGACAATTTTTTGCTGTTTGCTGACCTGACCATAGAAGAACATTGTAAAGTGAAATTAGGCGGCAAATTGATCGAGAAGTAGCAAAACTGAAAAAAAAAAAAGGGGACGTGAAGTACAACTTATATCTTTTTATTTTGTCACTTATAATTCTTCCTTTTTGTTTATGAAGTTTGTTTCCGTATTGGCTACGGGAGTATAACTTTTCATTTTTGCTGTTTGTATTAGGTGAAGAAGATGGCTTTATATGCACTGGAGAAGGCTGTAGCTGATCTAAATGACCTTGAATGGTGAGTGGAATAATTCAGTTTCTTTCCTATGTTAGTTCAGTAATGCACAACTATTTAGCTACTTCTCTATGTTATTAGTTATTGTTGAGATTTGAACTTCTCTTTGTTCCCTCCTACACCATTACCATATCGAATCTTTGCACTAGTACAAATTCTTTAATATGCATGTTACTTTATAAATTCTGCAGTTATAGACTGTTATATGGCGAAATAGGAATCTCTTTTATTAGATTAGCATCTGCTAAGAAGTCCAAGTTGCATTTGCTTCTTGTCCTGAAAATTTTGAGCGTTCATCTCTTCTACTAAATATGATTGTTTTTCTCACTTCTAATAGAATTTATCCAAATTTGCTCAGTAATGACAGAGCCCAGGTGCAGCAACCACATTCAAGTAGTGAGCACGATCCTGTTCAAACTAAATAGGTGGTGGAGTAGTTCCATTATGTTGCTGTACTGTACATATGCTTGTGAACCACCTGACTATCTGGTAATCATGAAAAGAGGGCCGCAAATGACTCCTTTGTATCATCTAATCTCGACTGTCATCAGCCAAAACTTTGGATGTACATTAGCCCTGGTGCATCTTACAGCTCCAACTTAGAAGCCACTAAGAGACCTTGGGGATGTACAGTAATATGAAATGATTTTTGTTTCACAGGGTTAACGTCTTCTTTTGAAAACATTTGCGGACCTGATTTATTGGGTTTCCTTTTAAATTCATTGATGTTTTGCCTTAACCCTCTCATTTTGTACACAAAACAAACGTGCTACCAAACATGTCCGACCTCCCTCCTATTGTTAAGCTAATCCCCGTTGGCAATTGGGTGATTTCTGCTACTAGTTCACTGCTTGGACAAAGTATGCGTCTGTTCTCCTTTGTTTATGATATTGTTCAAACTCTTCTCTTTGATGCAAAATGTGATGGTAATCAATGTCTATGTTTTTCTTGTTCACTCATGGCAGACTAGATTTGCAACTAGTCATGTATGCCATTGCCCTATACTCGGCTATGATGAATGAGATACAACTCTTTGCTTCTTAGAACGCCATGAAATGAGTGAATCCTCGTGTAACACAATGTACATGGACAACAACCTGCCCAATTGATTGGCATCACAAATTTCCTTTAGCTGAAAATGTGTGCCACATGGTGGAAAAAGATAGTCTATTGAAATTATTGTTGAAATACGCATGCACTTTGCTCAATCATATTTTTTCAATCCAGTAGCATTGGTCAAGATTGAAAAGTAAGTAGTATCACATAACAGTAGCAGTAATAATAATACCCTGTTCAATAATTGTTGTCCAATATTGATTTGATACAGAGATTAAAAAATAATAAAATGATAGGGATATATTATATCAAAACAAATCATCTAAATTTAAAAAATAAATCCGTGGACTGATAATAGTGATGCAATCACCAATACATAATAAATACTAAGCTAGCAAAACAAACTTTCTAACTGATAATTAGTAAGAGATTAAAAGATATAGACTCGTCGATCAATATATATTTGTCGTGATCTCACGTTATATGAACATGTAATTATGACTATTGTCAGTCAAGAGAATTGAAAAAAAAAACAGAAGATACAACGTGATTTAGTTCATAGTTAATTTCTCCAAAAAAAAAAAATACAACTTAAAACATATATCTATTGAACATTATTCAATTCAATTAATATAATTCATATATGCATGAGTTACACAGACACTCATGTGGGATCTAAAAGTGCCAAAAAATTAAATAATATAAAGTCTTTATTAACACATGGGACCAAGAAATATTAAAATAGTATTTCACAACGTATCAGATCTTCTGATTTTATAGAATAATTTTCATGCACTAACGTAACGTTCATCGACAGACACCACCTTTTAAAGTGCACTTCTTTCTTACTTTTTATTTTATTTTAAATTACTTATGTAATTAAAAACAAATATATCAGCAACCATAATAATTAATATAATTCAATAGTGTAAAATAACATTTCTTTTCTTTTCTCCATAATATAAACGACGAATAAAGTTCTCAAAAAGGGAAAAAACATAACTCATGAGAAAATGTTCAAATTGTATCGTATTACAAATATTTTGAAATCAATTTACTTGATTTTCTAAAATGGAAAATATAAATTTGATACAAATATGCTTGTAAGCTGATCCGAATAAAAACGAAGAAAGAGAAGAAGAGACAACTGTCAGCATAAGAGATGAATTAGAACAATGTAAACGCAGAAAATTCCGAATCTTTGCTATGAATGGAAGAGTAAAATAATGAGAACCAAGTAATGGTGAGAGTATATAATTCTAACAGATCCAATCTCTCTCTCTCTCTCTCTTTTGCCTGCAATTTCTGTTGTTTCTTTTTCTCTCTCTAATACACAAAAAAAAAACATAGGTTCTCGTTGTCTATACTAACATTAACCCCATTTTTTTTTGTTTCTCAAGAGAAATTAAATATTGGGATTTTATAAAAATATAAAAAAGTTTCTTTCTTTCATGTATTTGTGTTCACTCTTTTTCACTCCCAGGTATTGAAATCATTTCTTCGTGGGTATGAATAAATTAAAGAGAGAATTTTTAGTTTTATGTATGTTTCAGTGAATCAATCATCTAAAGTGGCTTTGATGGAAAGGGTCTTTCTATTTTAGCTGTTTGAGAAGGTGCATAATGATTTTAATCTTTATGCAATCGGGTTTCTTTATAAGTTACGTTGTGTGGAAGGTAGTTTTGACGTAAGTGGTAAAGTTGTTGTCACGGGTTTCAGTTGTGGAAACAGATTTTTGCAAGAGTAAGGCTACGTGCAATAGACCGTCCTGTGCATAGGGGGAGCTTAGTGCACTTTTTTTTTGTAGTTATGTTGTGGGGTTCTGGAATTTCGATAGTAGTATTTGTGATGGATCCAAATGTAGTGCTGGCGATTTACATATAGGATTCATTTTATAGGATCTTTCTTCCTGTTATATGATATGATCCTATTTTTTAGCACTGAATAATTGGGGTTATGGCTTTGATTTTTATATGTTTGTTCTTATTGCTATGTGTTGTGATTGTAGGTGCCTCTGCAATTAGGAGAAGTTGGGATTCATTATTTCCACATAAAGCAAAATATTTGATTTATTAAGGATGGACGGAGCTGTGCTAGTTGCACTTACTGCTGCCATTGGCAACTTGTTGCAAGGATGGGACAATGCAACAATAGCAGGTATTTTCTGCTTAATCTCATGTTCCTTTTTTTGTGTGTGTGTTTTTCGCAGTTTTGTTCATGTCAGAGAAATTCTAGTGCTTCTATGTTTCTATTTCTAGTTTTCTTTTATAAAATGTGGATTAAAATGAGTTTAAATGGAGCAACATGGATAGGACGAATTCATATAGCTGTTTTGCTTGTGATTGAGACTTAGCTTGTTGACGGTTTAGGGAATTTACACTTTACAGTGATTTCTAGTATGGCCATCAGACTCCAACTTCACATGTTTTTAGCAGCATGCATGTTCCAACTTTGGCAAGATCTGGACATACTAATCCTAAAGCATGGTACCGTTTTTTGTTTGTGATATGTTTCAGGAGCTGTTCTTTACATCAAGAAGGAATTCAATTTGCAAAGCCAGGCAGGAATAGAAGGGCTAATTGTTGCTATGTCGCTAATTGGAGCGACTGTGATCACAACATTCTCTGGACCTGTATCTGATATGTTTGGTCGGCGTCCAATGCTTATTATTTCATCTGTCCTTTATTTTGTCAGTGGTTTAGTAATGTTGTGGTCTCCAAGTATTAATGTGTTGCTTCTAGCAAGGCTGTTGGATGGATTTGGTATTGGTCTTTCTGTAACACTTGTTCCTGTTTATATATCTGAGACTGCTCCACCAGAAATAAGAGGGCGTCTTAATACCTTTCCTCAGTTCACTGGAAGTGTTGGAATGTTTCTCTCTTACTGTATGGTCTTTTCAATGTCGTTGACAGTGTCACCTAGTTGGAGACTAATGCTTGGGGTTCTCTCGATTCCTTCTCTTGCTTATTTCTTTCTGGCTTTGTTTTATTTGCCTGAATCTCCGAGGTGGCTTGTTAGTAAAGGTCGGATGAAAGAGGCTAAAAAAGTTTTACAGAGACTACGTGGAAGGGACGACGTCTCAGGTATGCCTCCAGCTACCATTTTTCTTAACAGAAACAACTTATTTCTTAAGTTCTGTAAGTTTGCTCCTCAGTTTAATCTTACAAGAGTTTGAGCTAACTTTCTTGAACGCCCTGCCCTTCCTATCCTTTCCCCATTTGCAAATTAAGTTCAAGCTTGTAATAGAAATATAAACTATTCATAAGTAGAAACTTGTTGCAAGCTTTAAGCTCAAATTTGCAGTTGATTTAGTAAATACTAAAGCCCATTTGTTCTTTTCTCGAGCTTCAAATTGATTTAAATGCAACCGGTATAAACACATTAGATGCCATTCTTCCACATTGATTCATTTCATTTAATTAAGTTATTGCAGGACCTCCTTTGTCCAATTCTGCACAATTAATTTGCCTACTGTATTTCAGGAAATAAACTTTCATGAGCTCCAGATCAAAGTATTGGTTCATTTTCATGTGTCACTTAATTCTATATGAAAGCAGCCATTATTTTTTCTGAATGCAATTTTTTTCCAAAAGAGCTTACAGACAGAAGTCAAGTTTTACAGGAAAACAAGTATCTTCAATTTATAAACAAAATTTATTTCTTGAAAATATTAAGGTTTGGTGATAGGTGAACTAAGGATTTTCCGAACTTAAAGGTATTTCTTGGGTTTTAACAGTTGAAGTAACCAGAATTCTAAGTGCACGAGAATCCTTTCCGCTTGCAGGTGAAATGGCCTTGCTGATGGAAGGTTTAGGCACTGGAGGCGAAGTGTCTATAGAGGAGTACATAATCAGTCCAGATGATGAACTTGATGATAACCATGAGCATGCCGTAGATAAGGATCGGATCAAGCTATATGGAGCTGAAGAGGGTCAGTCATGGATAGCCAAACCTGTTACTGGACAAAGTACTCTTGGTCTGGTCTCCCGTCATGGGAGTGTAGCAAACCAAAGTGCTCTTATGGATCCTATGGTCACTCTATTTGGCAGTGTTCATGAGAAGCTACCAGAGATGGGAAGTATGCGCAGCATGCTTTTTACAAATTTTGGCAGCATGTTCAATATATCAGAGAATCAAGTAAAACACGAAAACTGGGATGAAGAAAGTCAAAGGGATGGTGACAAGCATTCTGATGCTTCTGGGGCAGAATCTGATGACAATGTGAGGAGCCCATTGCTCTCACGGCAAGGGTCAGGTACAGAAGGGCCTCCAACCTCATTAAGCATGAGACAGGGTAGCAATTACAATACTGCAAATGCTGGAGAACATGCCAGTATGGGTATAGGTGGTGGTTGGCAGCTAGCATACAGAAAAGATGAGAAAAAGGAAGGAGCACTCAAAAGGATTTATTTGCATCAGGAGGCTGGTGTTGGATCAAGGCGTGGTTCCATTATG